TTCCCCTCTCCATCCCCCCCACACTCATGCACACTCACACGTTCCCCTCTCCATCCCCCCCACACTCATGCACACTCACACTTTCCCGTCTCCATCCCCCCCACACTCATGCACACTCACTTTCCCAGCCCTCATCACCCTGGGGGACATGCTCCATTACTAGTCATCCAGGTAGGAGCTCTGGTGGCGCAGTTGTTAAGCACTTGGCCGCTCTCCGAAAGGTTGGTGGTTCAGACCCAGCAGGGACTCCACAGGATAGGAAGTCCTGGCAATCTGCTTTGATAAAGATTGCAGCCTAGAAAACTGGGGCATTTTTCTATCACATGGGGTCGCTGTGAGTCGGAATCAACTCCATTGCACCCAACAACGATGACAATCATCAGGAGGGGATGGTCCACCCATAGGGGGCGCCCTTCCCGCAAATAACTCATCACCAGAGTAAACCAGTTCCCGATCTCTGAGTCCATTTCGCCTTGTGGTGCCCCGGTGTGTCAACATAGAACCGTTCAGTCGGATTTTCTTAGAAGCAGATTGTTGGGCCTTTCTTCTGCTGTGTCTCTGGGTGGATTCCAACCACGAACCTTTAAGTTAGTGGTTAAGTGCAAACCGTTGGCACCACGTAAGGACCTTGAGGACCCGTTAAAAACCCGTTGCCATCGAGTTGACTGTGACTCACGGAGATCCCGTGTGTGTCAGTAGAACTGCACTCTGTAGGGTTTTCAGTGACTGAATCTGTGGAAGTAGATCACCAAGCCTTCCTTCCGAGGCACCTCTGGGTGAAGTTTTGGTTAGCAGCTCAGCATGTTAACTGTTTGCACCACTGTACGATCCTAAACTGCCTAGAGATTGAAATTTGGAAAAACACAGGCTGTAACGACGTCTGACTTTACGGGGCCGTCCAGCGTCTGCTGCAGACGGAGAAGAAAGGGGGGCCAGTTCCCAGCAGATTTCTTTTATTGTTGTTTTTGTTCACTGCTATAATATCTTGTATTTTTTTTTTCCTAATTAATTTGGAATTAATTAGAAACTTACAGAAAGTTGCAAAAATCAGCCTACCCCAAGGTTCCTCATATTCCCCTCCCCAGATTCACCAAGTGTTCACACTTCACCCCATTTTCACCGAGCAGGGAGTTGGCTCCACGTGTCTGGAGCCCAGCTTGTCCAGAGAAGGGTGTTGGGGACAGGCCCAGCCCGGGCCAGGCCGGGACCCTGAGAGGTCGTGCTTTTTGCTCCGCCCTCCCCAGGCGCGGCTGGAGCGGGACCTGAGCAACAAGAAGATTTACCAGGACGAGGAGCTGCCCGAGTCCGGCGCGGGCAGCGAGTTCAACCGCAGGCTCCGGGAGGAGGCGCGCAGGAAGAAGTACGGCATCGTCCTCAAGGAGTTCCGCCCAGAGGACCAGCCCTGGCTGCTCCGTGTCAACGGCAAGGCGGGCCGGAAGTACGTGGGGGTGTGGCCGGGGAGGGTGCCAGCCTCGCCGCCAGCCCGCGCCCCCAGTCCTCACCCCACTCAGCTGGTGACCTCCTTGAACCTCAGCTTCTCGTCTGTTCAGTGGGGGTAACAGTACTTCCTGCTTTGCAAGGTTTTATTTATTTTTGTTTTTTAATTCTGGGGAAAATACATATAACAGAGCATACAGCCATTTAACAGTTTCTGCACGTTCATTGATAGTGGTGACGTTCTTCCTTGTGTCACTATCCTCGTTGTCTCTGCCCCTATTGTTTCCCCACCGTTAGCTTAGACTCTCTGGCCCGTAGAGTTCTCCTCTGTGTTTTAGGGTGACTGTTGGCATCTCAGTCTCGTGGGTAATTCAGTAGGTTATTTATTTATTTATTTATTTAGGACGGGTCATATCATTGTACCAGTACCAAACTGTTTTGATCATGTAGCTTTATAGTGTGTTTTGAGATCAGGAGGCATGAGTCCTCTTAAACACGGTTCTTCTTTTTTTCAAGATGGCTTTGGCTCTTCAAAGCCTCTTGCCTTTCTGTATGAATCCGAGGATTAGCTTTTCCGTTTCTGCAGAGATGGCTGTTGGAATTTTGGTGGGGACTGCAGTGAATGTATAGACCAACGACTTTTTTTTTTTCTTTTGAGATTTTTTTTTTTTTTTTGGTGAAAATACACACAACAAAACATACACCCGTTGACTAATTTTTACACACGCAGTTCACCGGCAGTGGTCACTGTCCCTGTCTCTGCCCCTGTAGTTTCCCCACCGTTGGCTTGGACTCTGCCCCTTAGAGTCCTCTGTGCCTTAGTTACTGCTGGCCTCTCACACGGGTCATTCTTTACGGGAGCGCCAGGCTCAAGGCGACACTCTGTATTGATTGACGTGAACTCGCTTACTTTAACGATGACTTCCTGGGCCGGCTTTGGTTCGGGGTGTAAAGGTTTTTTCCCGGCAGGAGACTCGGGGGTTCCTGCGGTCTCGGTGTGTTCTCTGAGTCTGGTTTCCAAGGGTTTTGTGTTTGTTTATTTCGTCCACCACTTTCTCCGTGTGCCGTTCGGTGACGCTGATTACAATCTTCAGGTTGTGCAGCCGTCTCCCCCCCCGCCCGTTAACATACACTCACTGCCCCTGAGCCTCCTGTCCCTCTTCCGAGCTGCTGTTGTCAGTTTGATCCCAGGGTTTTCTTTCCGACGGTGAGCCGAGCGGGTGCGGCGCCTGGCTCGGCAGCAGCTCCACATGCCGCGCGCAGGAAGCCCAGGCAGCGGACCTGCTGTGCACAGAAAGGGGTGCACGGGGGGCCGGGGGGTCAACAGGGTTGTAAGGGTGTCCTGGAGAGAGCAGCTGGGGTGCGCCATGAGGGGCGGGGGTTCTCAGAGGCCAGGTCTTCTGGCTCCAGTGGGCAGAGAGCTGGGAAGTGGCCCTCTGGGCTGCAGGGCCCGTCCCGGTGGAGGTGGGCGGCGCCCAGAGGGCCGGTGGCGGAAGGGGGCGTTGAGAGGTGGGCGGGGCTGGCCCACGCAGCGCGGGGGACACCAGGATGTGGCTGTCCCCTGGGTGGCTGGGGCAGGGTCCAGAGCCTTGGGCGGGTTGTAGGCAGGTGAGGGCCTGCAGACAAAGATGGCCCCGGCTTCTGGGTGGAGAAGGTTGCAGTGGAGGCCGGGAGGAGGTGGGACAGTGGTCCCTGCTCGAGGCGATGGTGCCGGGGTTGGCTCTCACTTCAGATCCTGTCACAACTTCTTGTCCCACCCCCACCCTCACCTGGCTCCTCAGGCCCTCCCCCACAACGCAGCCCGCAGCTGCAGGTGGTCTGATTCCAGGGCATCTCCTTCAAAGCTCAACAGCTAAACACCTGACCAGCTCTGCAGGTGCGGAGGGCTGGCCCCATTTTCCAGATGCGGAAATCGAGGCTCAGACAGTTGAAGGGCTGCCTGAGGCCTCACAGCTCATTCCCGCGGAGCCGAGAGTCCTGGCTTTTCGTCAGAGAAGCCAAGTGGGCTCTGTCGAGGATGCGGGACCGGGGGCGTATGGGGGACGGTCCTGGTCCCACAGGCCCGGCCGTGACTGTGGCTCCCCACAGGTTCAAGGGCGTGAAGAAGGGGGGCGTGACGGAGAACGCGTCCTACTACATCTTCACCCAGTGCCCCGACGGCGCCTTCGAGGCCTTCCCGGTGCACAACTGGTACAACTTCACGCCGCTGGCCCGGCACCGCACGCTCACGGCCGAGGAGGCCGAGGAGGAGTGGGAGAGGTGAGCGGGCCCGGGCAGGGGGAGCGGGACGCGGCCACCGCGATTTCCCAGGAGGACGGGGACCCACGCGCTTGGAGGTGGGCTCAGTCACCCGAGCTTTGTCCCCAGCCGCAGGCTGGCTGCCGGGAGCTGGGACTCTGGGGACCCAGCCAGACCTCCCGGCCCTCCCGGAGCTCCCAGCCCAGTGGGGAGATGGGCAGGAAGCCAGGCGGGTCCGTCAGGGCAGGGCTGCAGTAGAGGGCTCCCAGGGCGCCCTGAGAGCCAGAGGCTGCAATGGCTAAGCCAGGCCCTGCAGCGTGAACAGGCCACGCAGGGTGGACGGGCCTCGGCCCCCTCGGCTTCCCGGATGCAGGAGGTCGCCAGCTGGATCAGCTGCAGCTGAGCCATGGGCATGGTGTGACCCCTGACAGTCTGTCCCGCGGGGAGAATGGGCGCCCTGTGCAGAGGTCCTGGGGCAGTGGTGTTCAGTGGCGGAATCTCACCTTCCATGTGGCGACCCCACGCACAGCAGAACGACACGCGGCCCAGTCTCGCGCCATCCCATCATCAGTTGGGGATGGACCGTTGTGATCCACAGAGTTTTTATTGCTGGGTTTTTAGAAGTCGATTGCCAGGCCTTTCTTCCTAGTCCGTCTTAGTTTGGAAGCTCTGCTGAAACTTATTCAGCATCACAGCAACACGCAAGCCTCCACTGACAGACGGGGGGTGGCTGCACATGAGGTGCATTGGCCGGGAATGGAACCCGGGTCTCCCTCGTGGACGGCGAGAAACAGAAAGGTTACTACATTTTGTGAGATTCCATTAGCCGAGTGAGACCCAAGAGAGGTGTTAACACCCCGGCATCGCACCGGGACTTCCTCCGGATGGACCCAGGACAGGGAACTGGAAGGGGGCCCGCCCTCCCAGTGGGATGCCAGGTATTTGGTGCCATGTGCTGTGGTCCCCTGGAGCTTGACCATCTCTCAGGTCCCCAAGTGGTGTCTGTGATACCTGCTGGCTCTCCGGGAACCGCCAGGTGGAGACACAGCTGGTGCAGAGGCCCGGGGACCATGGAGGCGGCACTAAGGTCCCTGGGGGTGCAGGCGGTTCCCAGTCTTCAGGCTGATGGTCTGCAGGTGCCCGGGGGCCGTGGAGGGGGCGCTGAGGTCCCTGGGGGTGCAGGCTGTTCCCAGTCTTCAGGCTGATGGTCTGCTGGGGCCCGGGGCCCGGGGGCTGTGGAGGGGGCGCTGAGCCGGCCCTGCTGTCCCAGCACAGGAGGAACAAGGTCCTGAACCACTTCAGCATCATGCAGCAGCGGCGGCTCAAGGACCAGGACCAGGACGACGAGGAGGAGGAGAAGGAGAAGCGTGGCCGCAAGAAGGCCAGCGAGCTGCGCATCCACGACCTGGAGGACGACCTGGAGATGTCGTCGGACGACAGCGAGGCCAGCGGCGAGGAGGGTGCGGCCCGGGAGCCCCTGGGGGCTAGTGAGGGGCTCAGCCTGAGCCCAGGCTGAGCCCCTCCGCTGTTCCTCTCCCCCCGAAGGCGGCAGAGCCCCCAAGGCCAAGAACAAGGCGCCGGCGGGCAAGGCGGGCAGGAGGAAGAAGAAGAAGGGCCCGGACGATGAGGCCTTGGAGGACAGTGACGACGGGGACTTCGAGGGCCAGGAGGTGGACTACATGTCCGACGGCTCCAGGTGAGGCGGTGGGCGGCGTGGAGAGGCCCCAGCCCGGCTGGGGGGACGTGCTCACCCCTGTGCCCCCTGTGTCTCACAGCAGCTCCCAGGACGAGATGGAGAGCAAGCCCACAGTGACCAAGCAGGAGGAGGGGCCCAAGGGTAGGTGAGGGGCCGGTGGGGGGCCCGGGCGGCAGTGAGGGGCCAGCGGGGGGCCCGGGGACTGGCGAGGGGCCCAAGGGTAGTTGAGGGGCGGTGGGGGGCCCAGGGGCCAGTAGCAGGGCCTGGGGGCTGGTGGGGGGCCTGGGGGCGGCAGCTCGGCCCCCCGCTCACACCTGCTCCTCAGGTGTGGACGAGCAGAGCGAGAGCAGCGAGGAGAGTGAGGAGGAGAAGCCGCCCGAGGAGGACAAGGAGGAGGAGGAGGAGAAGGCGGCTCCGACCCCCCAGGAGAAGCAGCGCAGGAAAGGTGGGCCCCCGCCTCCCGCCCTCTCCCACCCTTCTCTGGGACGGCGCGGGAGGGTGCTGACCCCCTTCCTCCTGCCGCGCAGACAGCAGTGACGAGTCGGACAGCTCGGAGGAGAGCGACATCGACAGCGAGGCCTCCTCGGCCCTCTTCATGGCGGTGAGGCCCAGACCTGGGGGCGGGCGGGGGGTGGGCAGGGGCTTCGGCTCCCCGACTCACACCCCCGGCCCCCACAGAAGAAGAAGACGCCCCCCAAGAGGGAGCGGAAGCCGTCGGGAGGCAGCTCGCGGGGGAACAGCCGGCCCGGCACGCCCAGCGCGGAGGGCAGCACCTCGTGCACCCTGCGGGCGGCCGCCAGCAAGCTGGAGCAGGGTGCGTGACCCCATCTGTCCCCACCCCATCCGCATCAGGGTCTGAGCCCAGAGGGGGACACCTCTTCCTGAGGTCACACACAGTGGGGGCAGAGCACGATGCAGCTTGTTCTCTGCCGAGTGCTCTTGCCCTGCAGTGTGGGGACTGTTGTCGCCCCATGGCGTGGGGACCGTCGTCACCCCGTGTGACAAGGATGCTGAGGCTGGGAAGTTATGTTGTTCACCCAGGGTGGTGGGGAAGCCCTGGGGGCGCTGGACTCCAGTCCGCCTGCTGGCCCCAAGCCCTGGTACCTGTCATCCCGCCCTGCCCGGCCTGGGGTCCAGTCCCTGGCCCCAGGCCTCACCCCGACCCTGCTTCCACAGGGAAGCGGACGAGCGACATGCCCACAGCCAAGCGGCTCCGGATGGATGCCGGGCCCCAGGGCCTGTCCGGGAAGTCCACCCCCCAGCCCCAGTCCGGGAAGTCGACGCCCAGCAGCGGGTAGGCTGGCGAGGATGCGGGGGCCGGGCGGGGGCTGCAGGGTGGGCCCTCGCTGACGCCTGCCGCCTCCCGCCCTCCACTCTGCAGCGACGTGCAGGTGACCGAGGACGCCGTGCGCCGCTACCTGACGCGCAAACCCATGACCACCAAGGACCTGCTGAAGAAGTTCCAGACCAAGAAGACGGGGCTGAGCAGCGAGCAGACGGTGAACGTGCTGGCGCAGATCCTCAAGCGCCTCAACCCCGAGCGCAAGATGATCAACGACAAGATGCACTTCTCCCTCAAGGAGTGAGGGCCCGCCGCCCAGCGACAGGCTCCGTTCTCCGGAGCTGCTGGGGCCCGCCGGTGCGCTCGCGGCCGCCTGTCTGCTGCCGACGTGTCGGCTTGCTCCCTGAATCCAGGGATTCCCGCTTCATCAGTGCTGGATCGATATAAGCAGTCTTTGCCTCATTTTCCTTCTCTCTCTGGAACTTTTAAAAAACAAACAAACAAAAAAACAGTTGCAGTGGAGTTGATTCTGGCTCACGGCATCTCCCAGAACTGTGCATCGTAGGGTTTTCAGTGACTGATTTTTCAGAAGTAGATTGTCAGGCCTTTCTTCTAAGGCGCTTCTGAGTGGACTTGAACTGCTAACCTTGTGGTGAGCAGCTGGGTGTGTTAACTGTACCAGCCAGTGCCTCCTCTGGAACCTGTAATGCCTGTTGTGGTTGGGTGCCGTTGGGTAGATTCCGACTCATAGTGACCCCATGTGACAGTCGACCTGCCCCATAGGGTTCTCTAGGAGCCCTGGTGGCACAGTGGTTAAGAGCTCGGCGGCTAAACAGAAAGCTCGAATCTATCAGCCGCTCCCAGGGAACCCTAGGGGGCAGTTATACTTTGTCCTATAGGGTTGCTATGAGTCGGAACCGTTTGGTTTAATCTCTGTGAGACGAGATCACCAGGTCTTTCTTCTGTGGAGCTGCTGGTGGGTTCCAACTGCCGACCTTTCTCTTAGCAGCTGAGCACTTAAATACACCACCTATTAGTCCCTCGTGTTCTCTCCTCCTCATTGCTCAACCCCTGATCACCTTGACCTTCTCCCTAAGTGCTGCATTCTGGGTAATTTTTTCAGCTCTTTTCCTACTCAGTGTCCGCCCCCCACCCCCCACCAGCCCATTAAAGTATCTATTTTCTGTTGCTCCCAGTTGTCTTTCTCAGATCAGCTGGTCTGTTCTGATAGTGTCCAGTCTTCTACTTATGTTTTGGATCCTGTAAGTTTTTATTTTAAGCGTCCTTATAGTCTTTGTGAGACGCGTCTGTTAACTCAAATTCATGGGTATCCTTATGTCTTCTGACTCCCCTTTGTGAGATTTTCTTGTGTTTCGTCCTCTGGGAAGGTGAGCCCTGCTCAGCGTGGGGGCTCTTTATCTGTAGGAATCCCGAGCACGCCCTTCCAGAATGGTTTTGCCTT